ACCTACGGCCTAGAAAACAGTGCGTTAATGTTCGAAATAAGGCAAACAGAGTATTGGGTTTTATATCTAGAAGTGTAAGTAACAAGAGTGCAGAGGTCTTATTGCAACTATATCTTGCGCTAGTCAGGCCGCACCTCGATTATGCGGTTCAGTTCTGGTGCCCCTATTATAGAATGGATATAAATTCACTAGAGTCGGTGCAGCGAAGAATGACAAAAATGATTCCGGGACTTAGAAACCTTCCATATCAGGATAGGTTAAAGAAACTTAACTTGCATTCCTAGAAAGACGAAGAGTGCGGGGAGATATGATAGAAGTATTTAAGTGGGTGAAAGGAATCAATAAAGGGGATATAGATAAAGTTCTTATAATATCCGAGCAGTATAGGACTCGAGCAACGGATTCAAGTTGGATAAGCTTAGGTTTAGGAGGGAGATAGGAAGAAACTGGTTCACAAATAGGGTGGTGGACGAGTGGAACAAGCTTAGCAACTTTGTAGTAAGTGCTGGAACTCTGGAAAGTTTCAAAAGGAGGCTAGATAGATTCATGGATGATAGAGAGTGGTAGTAACTCTCGACAGGAGCTGCCATGCACAGGCCAACCGGCCTATTGCAGACTTCTTATTTTCTTATGTTCTTATGGTGTTTTAATCATGTGAAATAAGCTGGGTTTGTCTAATATCCAGGTGATCCCTTATGTCTAGTAACGAATATTTTTTTAAATTCACAGGTGAGGTTAAATAAGCTTAATGATGACACGGGGAATATATTCACCATCATCATCACCATCATCAACATCATCATCATCAACATTTTTCTCCTTTTTTTTTTCCTTTATAATCATTCTTGTCTTATTAACTTTATTCTCGCACTCTCTTTTTCTTCTATTATTCTCTTTCTTGTTCACACTTTTCTCCATCATCACAGCTGTGTCATCCACCCTGTGCCTCGTGACCAGTTTGTTTACCTATGTCTGGATCAACTGTTTTCTCTCTCTCTCTCTCTCTCTCTCTCTCTCTCTCTCTCTCACATTGATCATCCAGTCTCTTTCCTATATACCATTTCTCTTTTTCTTCCTTTTTTTCTTTTTCCCTTTCCCTCTCTTCTTCTTCTGCCCACCTTGACCTTTGACCTCACGGCTGGTCATGGAGGGGTCCTTGTCCGCTGACCCACATCCGTCAATCACCTGAAGGCCGATTGAGGTAAAGACAAATAGTGAGAGAGAAGCTTTAGTAGTGAAGTAAATACTGGAGTGTGTTTAAGACCATTGAGCCATTGAGGAGTTGACTGTGGGGGGTGGGTGTGTGTGGGTGTGGGTGGAGGGGGGTGTTGTGGTGTGTGTATGTGTGTGTGTGTCGGAGGTATGTTTGCTTGGTTTTAATGTGATGTTGGTTCTGCTCGTTAAGACTAAGCGATGTGTGTGTGTGTGTGTCTGTGTGTGTGTGTGACATTCAGTCTGTGAGGTAAGTATCTCACACACACACACACACACACGACGAAACAATACACTATTGCTCGTCCAAAAGCATAGGGATTATTTCTTGACTTTGTGAAATTCTGTTTTACTTTTACACGTCATTGGAAAGCATTGCTCTCTTAAACATAACAATGAGGTTGTTTATATGTGCAGGAATTTTATATATTTGACGGCGAAATAAGACCAGTAAATAAATCCCGACTTCAATTTAAATATTTCCAGGAACCAGTACGACGAACTGTGTGTAAAGAGAGACTTAAGAGTTTAATGAGCTGTCTAAACACAGTCTTTAAACACGGACAAAAATATGTATCCAAATTTAACACGAAAAAAAATACAAAAGTTTCGAGATGTTTAATTCAGTGGTGGTGTGTCAGGGTGACTGTGTGAGTGGCCGAATATTCCTCAGTTCGTGTAGAGTTAATATTATTTACTAAGTACCTAAATGTAGCCTGAAGCCTGTGGGTAGAAGGGTTTTATTTGTGGGGGTGAATACTGACAGTGATCACGGTAACCCAAGTGTACAATGAATCATGTTCCCTCACTTTTCGTCATCATCTGGTTAGGTTAGGTTAGGGTGGGGGAGTGAAAAATAAAACAAAACACTCAAGGACATTTATTACGGGGAATTTCAACAGTTTATTACCGCACAAAACTACGAGAAGTGACTTGACGTGGTTATATACATGTAGTGTGGGGGCCGCCCGCTCACCGCTAGAGGCGCTGTCATCACTGGGTGGAATATCTTGTCCTGATAACCTATTCTTAACACTACCAACCTTCATTGTACAGATTACTTGTCCAATAAAGACATCAAATTACAGTGGACCATAACATAAAACCATCGGCAGCACGAGCACTAACAGCGCCTGGCGGATATGTTTACCTGGCAATGAAATGTTAATAGTGGGTCGGCGGGATATGCACCTGACACAGCAGTCTTGGTGTGTGTGTGATTCTAATTTTATGTGTTCCAGAGGTAATTGTTGTAGGGTTTTACATCTGTTTGTTTGAGGGCAGAGCGTGTGTATTGATTGGTCGTTTGCTGGTTTACATGATACTGTTAGGTTAGTTTTAGTGTTGGTTTAATCTTTAAGTCATGCACAGGTGTAGAAGACAGTCCGGTAATATACACACATCTGGTATATATATATTAACCGTTAAATATAGCCTGATATATTATAGCTACACATGTTAATATTCCTCTTATGGAGAAATATATTATCGTCCTCACACAAGAGATAAAGTAATAGTGTACATTATTATTTACACATATTTGCAGATATAAGTTAAACACCCTATCAGCCTCCTGTCAGCTGATCCGAGGAAGGTTATGTTTACACCACAACACCAGACCAATCGTACAACAGGCAGTAGATCAAGAGGCTGTCAGCTGACTTCACGAGCTTCACTTAATCTTTCTATTCCTAAAGCTATTTTGGGGATTATTTTTATTTATTTTTTATTGCGTTGTTATGACTATTATCGTTGTTATTATTGTTCGTGTTAATGTTGTTACGTAATTGAGATAAACACAGCTAATTAACACATTAAGTTTGCAGTTATAAAAATTAATTAGTGCAGTAATATGTACAAAATAGCCTTGTAATAGGCTCTAACTACACATGAAGGGGTCATCAAGTCAACTAGGCGACGAATGAAGAGCAATTGGGCTATTTTCGGTAATTAGCATGACAATAATAACTCTCAATCGACACAAATAGGAATGATTAGCTGTGGACAAGGCAATTTTGTTGTTGGTGGTGGTTTAGTGCACGCGAATTTTTTCTCTCTTGTTTAACGCGTTTATGTGGCGTAATGATGTACAGTTGTGGGTGATATTCTCAGGGCACTTTGGCACTGTACACTTCTTTTTGGCATTGGTCACTTGTTGGTACTCCTGGACACTTTTTTGTATCTCTGGGTACTTTATGGCAGGGTACACTTTTTATGGCAGGCACTGGACACTATTTTGGGCATTCCATTGACACTTTCTTGCCATTCCCTTGACACACTTGGCACTCTGGCATCTCTTTTTTTTTGGCACTCTCTGGCATCGTCTACATTAGGTGTTGTGTACATAAAGATATAATGAGACTTTAATATACAATGACTTTGATTATTTACTGATTTGTTAAGCATTTATTTTTATTTTTTTACCTTATATATAATAAGACGTCAAGAAAAAATAGTTGTTTGTCAAGTAAGATCATTGTAACTCTTAGGTGTGTGTGCGTGTGTGCGTGCGTGCGTGCGTGCGTGCGTGCGTCATCACCTGCTGGAAGTGTAGTGGTGCAACAGAGCTCCTAAATATGCTGGCGGCTTGCACCACCACCTACATACTGTATTATCAAAACTGTATTTATTGTTATTGTTTTTTCCTTTAATATTATTTTATTTTATTTTATTTTTATTTTATTATTTTTGTTTATTATTATTATTATTATTATTATTATTATTATTATTATTATTATTATTATTATTATTATTATTATTATTATTATTATTATTATTATTATTATTATTATTATTATTATTATTATTTGACGTAAAGACTTGTGTGGTCACCCCCATGGCGAGATATATACTGTATGTGTAAGTACCATTAAGTTTTATCTGTTTCATGAAATGTATTGTGATTCATGTGACCCTTAATTAACTAGCTAGGAAAATAAGTTAATTGTTTTGAAGTGTAATTGTCAATATAAATAAAAGACGTTCAATAAACAAAAGAACCATTAAGAAGTGTTATATATCCCTCCCTCCCTTTAGTGTTGAGTAAATCACTGTTATAAGTGTCTTTGATGTTATGCAGTGATACAGTGAACCATTAGAAACAACATAACTATTTCATGTTGTCCTCTGTTAAAGTTGTGTGTTGGTCCTATTCCCCAGTTATCTTCCCTCCCTCTCTTCCTCTCCCCTCATATAAGCTTACTCTCTGGTTGGGGGGAGTGACCACAGGCGACCCCCACCCCTCCCCCCTCACCACCACCTCCCGTCAACCATAAACAATTGTCCACTATATTTAATACAGGGTGTCCATAATATTTTATACAGGGTGTCCACTATGTCCTGATGCCCCTTACAGGATATATTTTGGACACCCTGTAGATTAGTGTAGTTAAAGCCTGTTGAGTAACTGTATATAGTCAAGTGATTGTTGTTGTATGACTCTTAGGACATTACAGTATTACGTCTGGTACATTACAGGTTGGTTTGTTCTATTACGACGTGTAGAGCGTAATGCTGTATTGTGTGTGTGTGTGTGACGTTCCTATGACGTCAATCGACATACAGAGGAGAGCGGTTAACGGAAATATACATCCTGCGTGTGTGTGTGTGTGTGAAGCATGGGTTTTATCAGTCAGTCAGTGTTGTGAACCTTGTTGCATGTGTACGTGGGTGCGTCTGTCTTCATTACACACACATACACAAACATGCACACATGTCTTAGCGTGAGGTTCTTCATTGTACACGTGCAATATTTATGTTTACCTGTTTTCGGCTTTGTGTGTGTTAACCAACGATAATTTTTCCTGGTGTACAGGTGCGCCTTAATTAACATAAAGACAGAATATCAAGAGTCCTGGTGATAAGATCAGTGATGGTGAGTGTCGTGTCAGCGGCTGGAGACTAGTGACGGGGACTGTACATTACACTTTTTGGCACTCTGACACTCCTGCTGGTGTCTTAACTATCATCAGGTGCCACACGTCATGTGATAACTTGTGGCACCAGTGTCGTTGTTCCTGTTGTTGTCCATCTGTTGTCCTTGATGATGATGGGAGGCGAGAGGTCGCTGGGTTTAGATGGTAGTGGCACCGCCCGCCGGCACCACGACTTCCCACCCATCTGCCCTAAGAGCCCCCGGGCCCTCCAGGGCAGGACGGCGACGACCACGACCCATGATTGTGTAGACAACCCACACACTGAGGGTACGTCCAGTGGTGTGGTGTCCAGGACCAGCGAGGAGCCGTGTACCTCAGAGGTGGAGGGCGTCACCCGACACCTGCAGGACCTCTCCCTCGACTCTTACGGCGACGATGACGGAGCGGAGGGCGCCGACTCCGCCTTCGAGGAAGAGTCGTCGGAGTGCTGGATGAGTCCTGGACTGACTCGGCAGAACTCATGCCTCGAGTCTGTGCCAGAGAACGGGAGTCTTAGCCGCCGCGCCTCCCTGCTGGATGAGGACTTCAAGGAGGCTCTCAGTAGGCGCCACTCGCGAGACTCCCGCGGGCCGCTCTCCCGCCGGGGCTCCACTTTAGACGAACTGGAGCCTCGTGAGCCTCTGGGCCGCCGCGACTCCCTGCTGGAGGCGGTGCTGGCGGCTAAGAAGGGCGGCTGGCGAGGCCTCGTGAGGACGGACAGCATGGAGAGCGGCGCCTCTATGGCTTCCTCCATGGCCTCCGTCAGTAGTGAGGGGTCGGTGTGCCCCTGCGACGACTGCCTCCTTGGCCTCACCGACCTCTATCCGGTCTCCCACAACCAACCAACTAAACCTAAGAAGGTAAAGTTACCCTCTTCTCCCTGGCTCCCGTAGGTCAGTACTGGCCGTCTGGCGCCCTCACTATGGCCAGCATCACCTGCACCCGCCGCTGACCATAGTCTGAACATGTATATTAAAAAAAATATTACCACCAGTTGTTGCTGTAGTTTGTGAAGTGAATGTGTTGTAGCATAAGTCACGGCCTCGTGATCACAGCCTCGCCGTGTTCACTTCTGCAATATATATTGACAACCTGATGATATACCTGAAGCCTCCCGTCATCTGCCCTGGTCTTGTTTATTTACTTGCTTCTTGTCTCTTTCAGGTAAGCTGGCTGACCCCCTGAGTGGCATGCAGACAGGTACCAGGTAAGGGTTGTTACGGTACTGCAGCAGTTAGAAGGAAGTGTCGGTGTGGGTTGAGAGGATGTTAGTGTCCGGATAAGAGACACAGAGATCCCAATTAAACGATAAATGTTTTCCGCTTTAAGATGGTGAGTACAAGACGAGAGTGAAGGCTTTCTGTGCTCGTACTGCAGAGAGAGAGAGAGAGCTCAAAATACACTCTGGTTTTCTGTCATAGGAAAGAACGCGACAGGGTAGACTAAGGTAAGTTAATATGGCGGCCTTAACACACAACTAAGCGAACAGCCCCTATGTCAGTGATTTAATTGGTATTTGTGAAAGACATTGAGCATGACAGCATCACCCTGTGCACACTTGACGCAGGTACGACTAGTGAGAGCCCGTCAACCATGCTGTGATTGGTTAGAGGGCATGGCGTCATGATTTTAGAATTATTTCATGGATTCTTGAAGACGTTTCTGAAGCTTACAGCCAGCAACACGAACCAACCAAACCGAACATAAACAATTCTTCCCTTGCAAGCCTGACCCGATGACCATAGATTAGGTCGTAGGTTTGGCTTGGTTGTGTATTCTGATTTAATATCGAAACATCCTGGAGCCAGTACAGTACATGCCCTCGCCAGTAGGCCCACTTCCCAACAGTACGTAAGAGAGACGTGACCGACCACTCAAGCGGATTACAGACCGATCAGTGGCGAAGACGATAAAGTAAACTCGTAAAGTAAAGTTTAAAGATAACATTACACCCTCAAACAAACTGACGATTGGTGTCTAGCTCCACTGTGTCCCGCGCAACGCTCATCAACTGTGCAGCATCATAGAGCAATAAATCAGAGTAAACTAAAGTAAATCGGTGTAACGCGACGGTTTATTCTTATGGCATTATAAGTGATAGGAAACAAGAACTCTTCACAACAAAAGGATAAGATCATTGTCGCCTTCACCAAACTTCGACCATTAGTGTACAAGTGTAGTTGGTGGGTGATAATGTTATTACGTGTAGTGTTGTGTTATTATAATCACAACGCAATATGTCTACCACACCACGCAAACCTAAACCTAACCATTACACCACACCATCATTATACAACACCGCTACTCACTATACAACACCTCTACTCACTATACAACACCATTACTCACTATACAACACCACTACTCACTATACAACACCATCACTACTCAACGCCATCACTACTCACTATACAACACCATCACTACTCAACACCATCACTACTCACTTTACAACACCACTACTGATTATACAACACCACTACTCACTATGCAACACCATCACTACTCAACGCCATCACTACTCACTATACAACACCACTACTCACTATACAACACCACTACTCACTATACAACACCATCACTACTCAACGCCATCACTACTCACTATACAACACCATCACTACTCACAATACAACGCCATGACTATAGAACACCACTACTCTATACAATACCATCACTATACAACACCATCACTACTCACTATACAACACCATCACTACTCAACACCATCACTACTCAACACCATCACTACTCACTATACAACACCAATACACCACACCCTCGTCTTGTTTCTCCATCATGGCATTTAACAATACCAGAAAATATGTGATCTAATGATAGTAATTTCCTCCTCATCATCAACACTACTGTAAGATTTGACCTTATTGGGTGGGTGGTGGTGGTGGTGGGGGGGGGGAGAGAAAGTACACTCCCCTTCACTACTGCGTTTACAGGGGCTCGTCATATCAACATTCCACAAATCATTACATTGAGATATTTGTTTTAATATTGTTTTACTTTGATTCTATATTGTGTTCACTATTACAGGTTTCCTTCTGTTGAATGTAAACAAACACAGGGCTGCCTACACTGTACAAAACCTGATGAGCCCCTGTAAACACACTAGTGAAGGGGGACTGTACCTGACCTATACGTGTGTTTGTGTACTTGTTTGTTTTTTGTTTACCTGTGTGTTTGTATTTACTTTGTGTATTAATCTGTGGTTATGTGTGCTGGTGTTGGTGTGTTTGTATGTGTGATGGACTGTATGTGTGTATAGGGGTGCGTGTGTGTATTGGTCATGTGTGTGTGTGTGTGTGTCTGTGAGAGATTGTTTCATGAGTGTGTGTGTATAGGTCTTGAGTGTATGGGTGTATATGTGTGATCGTCTTGTGTGTGTGTGTGTTCAGTGTATTGGTCATGTGTGTGTGTGTGTGTGTCTGTGTGCGTGTGTGTCAGCATGTTGTGGTGGTGACGTTAACTGAATCATCCCCAAGGAAATCACCACATTCCTGTCCCTCTCTCCCCTGTCCTCCTCTCCCCTGTCCTCCTCTCCCCCGTCCTCCTCTCCCCGCCTCCTCTCCCCTTCCTCCCCCGTCCCTCCTCTCCCTGTCCCTCCTCCCTGTCCTCTCCCCTGTCCTCTCTCCTGTCCCCCTTCCGTTTGTTCCTGTCTCCTTCCCTCCTCTCCCCTGTCCCTCCTCTCCCCTGTCCCTCCTCTCCCCCTGTCCCTCCCTCTCCCCCCTGTCCCTCCCCTCCCCTGTCCCTCCTCTCCCCCCTGTCCCTCCTCCCCCTGTCCCTCCTCCCCCTTCCCCCTTCCCTCCCTCCTCTCCCCCTGTCCCCTCTCCCCCTGTCCCTCCTCTCCCCTGTCCCTCCTCTCCCCCGCCCTCCTCTCCCCTCCCCTGTCCTCTCCCCGTCCCCTCTCCCCTCTCCCCTGTCCCTCCTCTCCCCCTGTCCCTCCTCTCCCCCTGTCCCTCCCTCCCCTGTCCCTCCTCTCCCCTGTCCCTCCCTCTCCCCCTGTCCCTCCTCTCCCCCTGTCCCTCCTCTCCCCTGTCCTCCTCTCCCCCCTGTCCCCGTCTCCCATCTCCCTTGCCCCCCCCTCTCCCCTGTCCTCCTCTCCCCCTGTCCTCCTCTCCCCCTGTCCCTCTCCTGTCCTCCCTTTCCCCTCTGTCCTCCCTCTCCCCCTGTCACTCCTCTCCCGTTCACCCTTTCCTCTGCCCTCTACCCCCTGTGCTCCCCTTGCCCCCCACACACACTCTATGTAATTTAATGAAGGAAAACATTACAAAGTAGGAACACCTGGTTTTTTTTACAAATAATATTAATTCTCTACTTATTTCAACATCGTTATCTCCACTATCATCATCACCTCACCATCATCATCACCACCACCTCATCATCATCATCACCACCTCACCATCATCATCGTCACCACCTCACCATCATCACCTCACCACCACCAGCATCATACATACATATAGCTTATGACTATCTGATGACGATTCTATATTCCAAAGTTCTCAGGTTCAGTGACGGGTTCTTGCGTGTTGTGACGGGTTGTTGACGGGTTATGGCTGTAAACGGAGGAAGATGAAGAGGAGAGACACAGACAGACAGGGGGTCGAAGAGTACACGAGTCTGGTCGGCAGGAGAAAGTGTAGTGTGTGTAGGTGACAACGCCCTTATGTATTTACACCTATGTTACTCCACTGGCTACACTTTTGGGATATTCTAGTACACTACCAATCTCCACACACACCTATGCTTCCTGGTACACTCCAGCTTACACCCCTGGTACACCTTTTAAGCAGAAAATTACTATTACTGCAACTACATGTACTGTTGTTTGATCTACAGTAGCAGGTGCAGTGTTGGGTGTACAGTACGAATTGAATATCTTTTAGGAGGTTAAGATGAGGTCAGGTCAAGGTAATTTGTTTTAATAATGGTGTCTTAGAAATTTGATGGATACGATCTTTTCAAATTTATTATGACGACTCGGTATTAGACCTTCCTCTGTGTGGCATCTGCCGGCTGTTTTACCCCCATTGTGTTGATTGTACTACCGGCAGCCATTTCAGACAAATTACATAATGTTCACTAATTCAAGAAGGAAATTGGATAATGTGTGAGTCTTTTTAGAAACAAATTATAGGGAGTTTCTTTTAGTCATGTGGCCTTCACTTCCTCTGAGGCTCTTAAGCAGAATATTCCTCATAAGTCAATATGTACAGTCACTCCAAAAACTATCGATACTTAGAGTGATCGATGAATCTCAGAATGAACACTGTGACTCCTGTTGTCTCGGTAGGGTTATCAAAAGCCTTTGTCTGTTGTGTCATATTTTATCAACACAGTTTTGTACAGAATTTTTATTGACTTTACACTATAAGATTACACTTAACTAACTTTGTCTTAAATTACAACACACAAAAAAGTCCTTAAATTTCATCAAAACTATAGACTGAACTTCTTAAGTAGTTACCTTCACTTAGAGCAGCTGTTAGGGGACAATTTTTACCCAGGCTCTCACCTTCCCTTAACAAAACACCCAATTACTTACGTTATTATTATTACCTGCTTACGACTGATCTTATTATTAGTAACCACCCTGATGAAAGCTGCCGTCTGATTGGGTGGCAGGACTTTGTTTACCGTGTGTGGGTGGGTGTCTATGTGGGTGTTTGTGTGGGTATGTGGGTGTATGTAACCATCTCCCTCCTCCTATTGACACGACACATCTCTCTTTTTTTCTCTCTCTCTCTCTCTCTCTCTCTCGTAAACTGTATCACCTTCAGTTCGACGTTTAGAAAATGTTTTCGACATCCGAGTACATACGTCATGCTCACAATTAGAGTACAAC